GACACACACACGCACATGTCCAGACACACGCGTGCACGGGCCCAGACACACTCACACGCTTCCATCCGCTCGCAGAACGCCCTGGGTGAAAAACCCGCAAGTTTTAATGGTGATTTCGAAGCCCTTCCCCGCCGATGGACAAATGCGGCAACCGTGTACAATCCCCCGGGTGCGCAGCAGCACCCCAACGCCCTCGGCAGCCCCTCGCCCGCTGCCTGCAGGGAAGAGCAGCCCCCAGCCCGCGCGTTCCCCCGCGGGGACGTCCCCTCCCGGAGGGAGCGTGTCCCACGCGCGGAGGGAGGCTGCACGGCTGCGGCTCTTGGCACCCGGTGCTGCACCCAGCCCGGCCCGCTGCTGCTGGAGCCCTACGAGGGCTCCCCGTCCCTCGTAGCCCTCCTGTTCCCATCCCGCTGGGATGAGCTTCGGGGTATCCCGAGCACGTGACCGCCCGTAGCATCCTCCTCCGTGGAGAGGGACCATTGCTCCGGCTCTTGGGGTGCACCCGAGCTACAAGGCAGAGGCATCGGGTCTCCGGGTAATTGCATTTCCCCACCGTCGCAGCTTTTCTGGGGTGCTGTGGGCATCCAGCTGAAATAACAGCCAAGGAAATAACATCCAAGGAAATAACATCCAAGGAAATAGCCAAGGAAATAACAGCAAGGAAGTAACAGCCAAGGAAAGCCTCAGCCGTTCCTACATCAGAACAAGAGCTGAAAAATAAGCGCGGGCATCGTCGCCATCCCACTTACTTTAGCTCGGACTTGTTGAAAATCTCCTCCTCGTCCGAGGTCTCTTCATCGTACAGCTCAGCCATGGATTTTTTATGCTGGGAATCGAGGGGTTGGTACAGGTCTCTAAGCCACTGCGGTTTGGTTTTGCTGCCTCAGCCGTTCCTACATCAGAACAAGAGCTGAAAAATAAGCGCGGGCATCGTCGCCATCCCACTTACTTTAGCTCGGACTTGTTGAAAATCTCCTCCTCGTCCGAGGTCTCTTCATCGTACAGCTCAGCCATGGATTTTTTATGCTGGGAATCGAGGGGTTGGTACAGGTCTCTAAGCCACTGCGGTTTGGTTTTGCTCAGATCCGATAGGCGCGAGCCCTGGAAAGCGCCAGGGAAGGGAAGGTTTCGGAGAGGGTGAGAAACAGCCGGCGGTGCAGTTTGCGGGCAGAGGGGCAGACCTGGCACGTGCTCCCTGCCCTTACCTGCTCTTTAACATCGTTCTTGTTCTTGCTCCGTCCCCGTGCCAAGAGTTTTTGAAAGAACCTGAAAAAAAAAAGGAAAAGAAGGATAAAAGGAGGCAGGTGGTGATGGCAGTTACTGGCAGGAAGGTTGCCTGCACCCTGCCCTGCTGGGGAAGCAGCTGCTGTAGGATTCAGGCAAGTGGCACTTACAGCGCTGCAAAACATCTGGATTTAGCGGGTTAAAGGGGGAGAAAAAAGGCTTTTGTGTGTCATCGCCCCGGAATTCACCTTTCCCGGTCCATAAGCAGGGAGGCTTGGCCAGGGAGGGCTGCAGCAGGTGCCAGCACCCTGCCAGGGCAGAAGCCTCTACCTGCTCGGGGAGACCTTTCAGCTGACCCTAAGGAAGATGAGGAGCCCCAGAAGGAAGGGTCGGTGCTGGCTGACGTGGCTGGGAATGCGTCCTGGTTTAGCCTGGATGCGAAAGGCATCTGGAGAGGACAGGAGCGAGCTCTTCAACAGCCTCTCTGGGGAGCAGGGCAGGGAGAAATAGGGCAGAGCTGTCACCAGAGAAGAGTTTTGCTGGGAACCAGAGCAGAGAGGTGTTTCCTCGTGGCTGGGCAGCGTGGTCGCAGGGACGTGGGACCACACGGGAGCCCTGGTCCAACACATCACTGGCATGGAGAAGGGCTGCCTGGGTGGCTGGCTGAGCTTACAGCCGTGCCGATCACTCATGCTTTGGGGTCTCTTAAAAAAGCTATGTGTTTTAAACATAGCCGCTCCGGTGACTGGTGAGTCTTTGGCAGCCGGCGCCCGCGTGGCTGGGAGGCTCGGGGATTAGACTAAAGACTGTTCGTGGCACAGCAGTGGCACGGCGGAGGGAGTAATTACCATCTCGGGCGTGATTTACCGGTGCTTTGGGGTTGGGAAGCGGCTGCAGGTTTTTGGGAGCAAACCTGGTGAAGGAGAGAAAGAGAGAGACTCGTAACATCAGGATTTTCTCGTCATACTCTGCAAAACAAAGGAGGCCAAAAGGTTCTTCTGCCAACCGAGCCCGTTATATACACGTGCAAGCCTGTGCCAGCAGCCACGTGTTTAGAAAGAACCCATCCTCCCTTCCCAACTCCCCGCTTTTCCCTGCCTCCGGAATGACCTGAACTCCCAGAGCTCTCCTAATCTCAGCAATGTTTATGTCTGTCTGTCTTATCAGCGCAGTGCTTTGCAGGGTACTCCCCTCCCGTTTAACCCCAGTCTGAAACATGTAGGTAGGCTTTTAAAGAAATAAAAGCTTTTTTTTTTCCGAGGAGAAGGGCCCCTAAGGGAGGCTGAAACCCTGTGGGCACACTGGGTCCTCTCCCTTGCCTCTCTCTGGCACTGCCCTGACCCATGCGGAGCAGTCGCACCTTGCAGAAGGACTTGATTTTGGCAAGAGGGAAGGTAGCAGGGGAATTGCTGCACGGCTGAAAGCAGTCGGTGCGGGCAGGAGAGCAGAACGGGGTCAGGAGAAGAGTCTGGGAGGTGACTCTGTAGGGCTAGGGATTGCGGGATAAAACTCGGGGAAGGGCTGATGGGAGAGGCTGGGGGGGGGGGGGGGGGGCAGCCCGCGCCA